TATTTACTTTAGACACAGTTCTGTGGGCAAGTCAGCAAGGGCGCCTAGCGATATTTGTACCAACTGCGAAATCCGAAGTTGACCTAACGCTTCAGTACAGTTCAAAGACTTATCCATCTCAAAGCGAATGCAACGCTAGAGTGATGCATTAATTTTGCTCTTCAGGCTTTACGGTTCCGAAATGTCATCCACGTCCCACTCTAGAATCGTAAATATTCTCATAGTGGACCCACAGGGACTCATAGGCATATTTAGCCTCCTGGTGCACATACGAATTAAAGTTTATGTATATGAATATATGTATATATATATATATATATATATATATATACCATATATGTACCATACATACCATATATACCATATATACCATATATATATATATATATATATATATATACACATCTTACACTTTTGCTCGACTCATTGAGGAGAGAACACATATTCATCAGCTTTCGATAGGCAGATAGTAGCAGATAGGGCATGATTCTCCTGAAACGCTTGTTTTGTTGTGCTATTTAGGCTGTCATTTGTACAGTAAGCATCGCCAGATCATTGAAAATCTGGTTTCGTTTACTTTGACAGAATCTAGTTTCGTGTCGTTTTCGTCATATCATATCAAGTCCGCCCTTGCCAAGTAACTAATCCATCGAACATTGTGCATCATAACGAAAAGACCTCATAAAAAGGACCTATTTCCATGTATGAGCGATGCATAATATTTCCATGTATGTGATTTTGACCTGTGCTCGAAAAACTAGTGGAGGGAGTAAAGTTGCCCCCAGCCGGGCGCGGGTTAATAGAGATGTCATATTGTTCAGCAGTGAGACATCAGTGTACAATGTCGTGGAGATTTCTCGCCTGATCCAAATATAGAGATGTCCCTTTCCGGTCGTATATACATCAGGTGCTGATAACCGAACTCCGTTTAGTCTAACCGCACAAAGGTGTTGCTAGTATTAGTAAGTCACCCTTTTTTACCAGTGACTATAACTTTTTCTAGTGGCTGAGATCGTCATGAAATCAATACTTATCATGAATCAGCTAAAATACTTATTTTAGATAATCGCTTACTACAATAACAAAGTTGGAGGATAGTCATAAACAATGTTTTTCTATTACCAGCTAGTCAACACACTGTCTGATCGCTACTTTAGTTGCATTTTATTCGATAAAGTTTTATCACAAAACTTTTCTCCGAGCCGGCGATTTACATGATGCAATTAATCGGTTGTTTCAGCCATAATCGGAGAGAGCTCTTGCCTCCAGCAATTTCCGTCCCCACTAATTTTGCCAAGCCAGGATGATGAAGATACTGTTTCCCTTTCCCACGCCAATGGTATCACAACTATAAGAAGCGGTGTCAGATGGCGACAACATTAATAAGGCTGCCGGCTCTTCTAAGCATGGTATTCCATCGACAGATGTGACGTCAAACAGCAGTGCAGCGGAAACGCGAAAGGCCAGCACCGTGCCGCAGAACAACGCCACTGCGTCACCGCGCACAACCACCAATCAATCGTACGAGCCCAAGCCGCCCAGCATCGACGTGGTTGGTGCGGAGCTGACGACCAGTGACGTCATCACGGAGAGTGACGTCGTTGAACTTCGCCCGGATCATCTCTGCTCCTTGCACAAGTTCCAGAAAATGAAGGTACGTGGTTAATGAAGTTCCAGAAAATGAAGGTATTGTGAAATAACTGGGTATTGTGCTTGTTGGTTGAGGAGGCTGCATAGTAGGGCGGTTAAAAACTATTTTATGCTGGGAAGTGGCAAGCAAAGGGTTATCCCGGTTTCGTGATTTTAAAAAAATAACTTGGAACAGGTTTGGCCAGTATGGTATTGATGAATCCATGAAGCACACAGAGCTTCAACAGTACGATTATCACTTTTTGGCGTTGAAGTTTTCATTCCGAAAGCGACATATGACAGGACTAACACTACTTCTTAATTGTACCTGACCTTGCCCTTGAAACGGCTCGATGGCAATACTTATTGGTGTGCATGCGAGCGTGTATGCGTGCGTGCGTGCATGTGTGTGTGTGTGTTCTTGCATGAGTGCGTGTTCTTGCATGGGTGCACACTTGTGTGTCCTCGGGTCTGAATAAGAATTCTTCACCACGTTTTTGTTGCTTGAATTTATTATATGTGCATACATATATCCGTCCGTGTCTGGTCCGTATATATATATATATATATATATATATATATATATATATATATATATGTATATATATATATATTATCTCTCAACATGTTAAAGACAAAAACGACCACAAAATAGACATTGTTATTTACTATTGTAATAAGAAGATATCGAACTTTCTTATGAGAAACAGCCCAGACAAACACGACAAACTGAAATGCACCAATGTAGTGTATCAATTCCAATGCAACATCGAAGGCTGCAAACTTCGTCCCACACACTACATTGGTGTGACCACAACGACACTCTCACGACGCCTGACAATGCACTTACGTGACGGGGCACCCCTGGACCACATGCGACAGGAACACGACATGACATTGACACGACAACAACTGACAGACAGCACTGACATTTTACGGACGTGCAGTGACAGAAGACGCCTTCAAATTTGGGAAAGCATATTCATTAACGAACTCTCTCCGGCCTTAACAAGACAGACAAATTCTTGCAGAACTCTTGAGCTACTAGGTGGTAGGCGGTGAGCACTTCCGATGTGATTGTGACAATAGTGTTCCCATTGTGTCTTTGTGATGTTCCCATTATGAGTGTTTCTTACATGTATGAAGATGAAAATAGTAATCCGTCTTACTTCAATTCGTTGTGCTTCATTTATGTTCTCCGTACTAAAATATGTTTTCCAACAGAAGTGCACAATTTTTTCATCCTTTAAAACTCAAAACTTATTTCTTGTGCAATTTAGTCTTCTCCGAAGATGAGATAAGATCTCGAAACGTTAGAATGGAAGGAGTGATGAATATATGAGTAATTTTGTGCGAACCATCTTTAATCTAAGCGATGACGCAAAGTCAAAGGCCCGGAAACTAGAACGATGCATCAAAAAGCTCGTTAATGCTGAGTCAGCAGTTATTTTAATCAAACATGTATCAAAGAAAGAATTCTGCCAAAATATTCCAATATATATATATATATATATATATATATATATATATATCTCTCTCTCTCTCTCTCTCTCTCTCTCTCTCTCTCTCTCTCTCTCCTCTCTCTCTCTCTCTCTTTCTCTCTCTCTCTCTGTATATATCCACTGGCAAATCCACTTGTCTTCCGCCTTCAGCAAACTAAAGCTGCAACTATCCGTTCTCATTCTGAGGAGAAAGAAGACACCCGGTGAGGGACACCCAGTAGGAGGCAGATATATGGCTACTCGGCCACCCGCCAGGCTTAACCGGGGCTGACCCTCACAGCCAGCAAGAATTCCTCCTCAATGGCTTCACTTTTCTAAGGTGTGCCAACAGTTGTAATGGGCACCCAGCCGCCACATCCGCGAAGGTTTCCCACGCGTTACAGAATATTTGAGAACATTTACGTCACCATGTAGGTTAAAGACCTGCGCAGATGTGACTGCCGAGCTCTCACGGTAATAAACCGAACATCTTTAAAAAGGAAAGTAGATTAAAAGTGCTCTTGCTGGTGGAAAGTTGAGTCCCGGTTAGATTTGGCGGGTGGCCTTTGGCGGGTGGCGGGTGGCCTTTGACGGGTGGCGGGTGGCCTTTGCCAGGTGGTGGGTGGTCTTTGACAGGTGGCGGGTGGCCTTTGACAGGGGGCGGGAGGCGTTTGGCGGGTGGCGGGTGGCCTTTGGCAGGGGCGAGTGGCCGGCAACCTTCATTTCCGACTCCGACCCGAAGTGTCTCTTTCTCTTGGCAGAATACACATAATTGTTGCAGCCGCAGCCTGATGTAGCGGTGGATACGTGGCCTTCCCAGAGTGCGTGGCAGGTGTTGGTCTTAAATATTTGCTAGGGAGGACATGAGACAGCGAAAATGTAAAATGATCCAATTATCACCAACGCATCATCACCGACTTTATCTCCTGAATGATAAATATGCACTTCCCCTGAACATCCGAGGGACATTTGTTATTATCTGTATATATGTATATGTATATATATATATATATATATATATATATATATATATATATATATATATATATATACATATATATATATATATATATATATATATATATATATATACATATGAAGCATTATAGATAGAATATTAATGCCCTGCCTTGCATTGTAACAGATCCACAGCCATTAATATGAAATAGAGCATGAAGACATGGAATTACAAGTCCTCAAGGGGATCCAGTTGCAAAACACATACACATGCGCATGCATGCACACGCACGCACTCCCGCACTCCCTCTCGCCTGCCCACCGGCAGCACCACGCACGCACGCACACGCGAAAGCACAAACGTATGCATACGTGCACGCACGAACGCACGCACATATGTTCGCACGTGAGCATGAGCCCCATAAACACCAACACGTACCTGTTACCGGACCGCTCCAATGACAAGGCCGGTTACAATGAACAGATAGTGTTAGCTTCCTGCCATGTGTTGCTATTAAAACAAACACTTCAACATCATGAGGCGGTAAGAGTGGCTTTCGGGCTCTGTCGTTCATGGATTTTGCGGATGCCAACGTGAAATTTTCCCATTATCCACAAAATACGCCAATTTACGAGAATAATCCTCTGCTGGCCATCTTCTGGGCAGGTGTTCAAGTGAGCCCCCGACCGGAAATGATGCCTGCTGGGTCGTCGTGTGTGTTAATGCACATTCCAATCGGTGATTCGAGTTTCATTTCACAAGCCTATACACATTCTGATATCGCTCTTCAGCTCGGCTCTCAGTCTTCGAATCAATACTGCCACTACTGCCACACTATTTTCATCCTCTTGGCGGAAAACCTCCATTCAACGGTGCCCTCCAGCGCCGCGGCACTTAACTGAAGCCGGCCTTCTTTGAGCACGGCTCGCAGCGGGCAGCCGCGCTGGCTAGCACCTCTCTCTCTCTCTCTCTCTTCGTCATCATCATCTCTCTCTCCTCTCCTCTCTATCCTCTCTCTCTCTCTCTCTCTCTCTCTCTCTCTCTCTCTCTCTCTCTCTCTCTCTCTCTCTCTCTCTCTCTCTCTCTCTATCTCTCTCTCTCGCTCGCTCTTCTCTCTCTCTCGCTCGATCTTTCTCCTCTTCTCTCTCTCTCTCTCTCTCTCTTTTCTCTACTCTTCTCTCTCTCTCTCTCCTCTCTCTTCTCTCCTCTCTCTCTCTCTCTCTCTCTCTCTCTCTCTCTCTCTCTCTTCTCTCTCCTCTCTCTCTCTCTCTCTCTCTATCTCTGTCCGTCTGTCTGTCTGTCTGTCTGTCTGTCTGTCTGTGTGCCTGTGTCTCTGTCTGTCTGTGTATCTGTCTGTGTATCTGTCTGTGTGTCTGTGTGTCTATTTGTCTGTCTCTCTGTCTCTCTCCCTCTCTCCCATCCCTCCCTTCTCCGCCCTCTCTCTCACTCTTTCTTGCTCCCTCTTTTCTTTCTTCTTGCGATATAACTCAGGGTCGGTGTCAACGACCGCAAGGGTTCCTCTACACACACGACGCGCGTTTCACGCACGTCGTATTCGTGCAGCACCGTCAGGGAACGCTAGCGACTGCGGTGCGCTCCACTCGGCCGGCATATCAAGGAGTTCGGCCCAGTATATCAGGGTTAGCGGCTGTGGTGTGCTAAGCTCGGCCCAGTATTTCAGGGCTAGCGACCGCCATGTGCTCAACTCGGTCCAGTATATCAGCGCTAGCGGCTGTGGTGTGCTCAACTCGGTCCAGTATATCAGCGCTAGCGGCTGCGGTGCGCTCAACTCGGCCCAGTATTCAATAGTACTATTATCACTTTTTGGCGTTGAAGTTTTGATTCCGAAAGCAACATATGAAAGGACTAACACTACTTCTTAAATGTAGCTGGCCCAGTATATCAGGGCTAGCTAGCTATATCAGGACCCAGTATATCAGGGTCGGTCTTTCATCTTGCCATGCTACGGGGCTTAAAGAGGTGCATCTTCATCGTGGTGATGATGATGATGCGGGAATTTCGTGATCGCTGCAGTTTTCGACCATGACGATGGCGATGGCCGTAATGACGATGATATTGGTAATGCCAATCATGGCAATGCTGATATTGCCAGTGATGATGGTTATGTTGATGACGACGCTTATCGACGCAATTGAAGATGTGTTTCGTCGTGATGACATTGATGGTGGTGATAATAACGTTTGTGGTAAAAATAGTGATAACAAAGATTCTGGTCGTGTTCGCGCTAATGAGCTGACAAGTATGTGTCACGGCGCTGGTGCTGGTGTTGATGACGCTGAAGCGGACGATGACGTGACCACGCTGCCACCACAGGACGCGCTGCTGCAGCTGAGCAGGAAGCAGCTGGAGCGAGACGGCAGGCCTGTCGGCCGCGAGTACGTCATCAGCAGACTCTTCAGCCAGTACGACCTCAACAACAACGGCCTCCTGGAGACGGCCGAGCTGCGCAAGGTGGGCGTGAGGGAAGCTGGGGTGGCGCAGAGGGCGCGAAGGGTGCGAAGAGGGTGGAAGGGTTGGGACCTGGAGGTGGACCGGTCGGGAAGCTCTATGAGGCGACGGCTGACCTGGGGGAAGACGGAAGACTGGACAGGCTGGGGAGCTCTGTCAGGCGAGGGCTGAGCGGGAGGAGGCTGGAGGGGTGGACCGGCTGGGAAGCTCTATAAGGCGAGGACTGATCTGTAGCTCATGCAAAGTCAGAGGATGCTATCGAATCCTGAGAAGTCTTGATACCAGCAATCATATCGGCAATCATCTTGATATCGGCAATCGCGGCAATCATAAAACAGCAAAAATAAAAGAACACATTTTAAACACGTCATTCCCTCCAATTTTATTACTTTTGACATCCAGCAGGAGCGTGGAACAAAGTTATAGTGAAAACTTGTTTTGGCTGTTCATTGTCTTGGTGTTTTCGGGGCGGGTCCTGGTTTGGATAGCTCTCCACTCCCTATAGCTCCCACAATGGCTCAGGCACGGCAGACCTGCCTCAGGCGGGAATTACTGGCTGCGCTGCACTCGTTCACCGAATGTCACGCAGGCTGCCACGGTCGCTGGTGAACACACTTTCCGCGCTGAAAGGCTGTCGGCTCAGGCAGCGTTACGCTGCATGAGCTAAGCGGAAGTCGTGAGCCTTGGTGAGCGGGATATTTGAGTGAATTACTGGTGTACATCTTCTGAAGGCACCACCTTCCTCCTCTGACTGGTTTCAAGAGTCATTCTCATTAAAATTGGCGGCAAGGCTTTGGCTGAAGATCCGTTCCGGTAGATCGGCTGGTTGGAGCGCCTGCCTTCCGAACTGCCCACCCGGAGCGGCTTGGGATCGAGTCGCTTTATGCGCTCGCTGTTTGTCCTTGACAGGTATGGCCTGCGGCTGGTGGGAGCGGTCGCGCTTAAGATAAGTTGACGTCGGAGGGCAGAACGGACCGTGCCGAGCATTGCGGCACGTTAAACTTCCGCCGCCAGATTGCGCCGTTGACCTGAGTTTGTATTCGGGTGGTGGTGGCCAGGGCTCACACAATACAAGCACTGCTCAGCGCGAGCTCTGATCCCAGAAGTCCATTCATTAAAGGGGTTCGGATCAAATCTTTAAAAAAGGTAGGCTGGTAAGGCGACTGGTTGGTCACTGACGCGGGTCAGCTGACTACATCCAGCTCGACGATTTTACAGCTCCCAACTCTTAATTGGTGTAGCCTGGCCGGGGTCACGCGTTCTGGGGTGAGCATAGCCATGGGAAAAGTCATCCTGTACTGTACCTAGACCAGGATTGGCGGAGGTTTCATGCTTGACAGGGCTTGGTATTTCAAGCCAAACTATGGGAAGTTTTTAACATTGAGCCTGTTGACGTGTCTTGTATCGAAAGAATGTAATTGACATCCAAATATGCCACTATATGACTTAAAGGAGACCCAATCTTTGCAGTTTGTTTTGTGTGGCGTATTTTACGTGATGTGTGAAATGGTCTACAGTTCATGTTTTTATTTGCATTTTGGGCTTTGAATTTTATGGTGAGTCAGAGACCCTCAATATACCAGGAATAACAAAGTTTAATAATATGATCTTTGCTCATCTTCAAGAATGGCAGTGGCTCAGAAAGTTTCAACAAAACATTAGCTCTTGAAAAAGAAGACACTGAATTTCCGAATATCCCCCCATTTTGTGCAGACACTGTCACTAAAACATGTAAAAAATACAAAAATCATCCTAGCTCGCAGGCTTCGGGACGCTGGGCCGGAAGGCCACAGGACGGTAAGCCGTAATGCTACATGACGCTAGGCCGAGAGGCTACATAACGCCAGGCCGGAAGGCTACATGACGCTAGGCCGAGAGGCTACATAACGCCAGGCCGGAAGGCTACATGACGCTAGGCCGGAAGGCTACAGGACGGTATGCCGGAAGGCTACAGGACGCTAGGCCGAGAGGCTACATGACGCTAGGCCGGAAGGCTACAGGACGGTAAGCCGGAAGGCTACATGGCGCTAGGCCGGAAGACTACATGACGCTAAGCCTGAAGCTTACAGAACGCTGAGTCGGAAGGCCACAGGACGCTAAGCCTGAAGCTTGCAAAGTTCTACACAGAGCACTAGATAATAACTTTTTTACCGCAATCATTACCCTCCACGAGTAATGCCTAAATTTCAGAAACGTGTATAACCTAAGAGTGTTGTTTAAACCAGGCCCCATGACGAAAGTTGTACGTTCAGCCAGCGGCGAAGGTTCCGAATGCGCAGCGATTCTAAGATCTTCAGGTCAGCATTGTAGTGCTTGCTAGAACTTCTATTTTTGAGTTGGCTTTGCTGCGCTTTGCCCCAACGCTGCGTGTTGAACTACACTGAACATGCGCTCCCGTGGTGGTGTGGATGCTCTCCGTAAATACGTGCGTCTCCAAGGTCTCCATGAAACCTGCCACGAATGCTACGCTTTGTTTCTCATACGTAAAAAATCCCATGGTGCAGATTCAAGGATGTGAGCGAGTATAGCCACAGGACGAAGAATCAGTGCTCTCGATATTGTTATTGTTATTCATTGCTATTGTTATTATTTAGTTATTAGTTGGAATGTTATTGTTTTGTTGTTGTTATTGACTGATACAATATCCGGAAAAGCTCCGGTCCCAGGTCCGGTCCCGGTCTCTCCGGAAGAGCTCCCCTGCCCTAATTCCTCCTCTGAATGCGCCCGTGTTCCAGACGGGTGCATTCAGAGGAGGAGGGTCAGACACTTCGTATTCAGAGTATGGCGCCGGCGGGTGGGGCGGCGCTCGTGACCGGCAGCGCGTGGCTGACGAGGGGGGAGTAGCAGCTCAATTTCGGACCTGCTGTAACGTCCATTTTGGGTGGAACGAAATGTCTGACACCGACAGCAGTGGTAAATAATGGCCGGCGATAACCGGCGCAGATACATCCGACTGCCTGGCTGGCTAGATCACTGGACTCGGCGAACCAGCTGACGGTCTGGCTGAACTCGGCGAACCAGTTGACGGTCTGGCTGGACTCGGCGAACCAGCTGATGGCCTTGCTGGACTCGGCGAACCAGCTGACGGTCTGACTGGACTCGGCGGACCAGCTGACGGTCAAGCTGGACTCGGCGGACCAGCTAATGGTCTGGCTGGACTCGGCGAACCAGCCGACGGTCCGGCTGGACTTGGCGAACCAGCTGACGGCCTGACTGGACTCGGCGGACCAGCTGACGGCCTGGCCAGGACTCGGCGGACCAGCTGACGGTCTGGCTGGCTAGATCACTGGACTCGGCGAACCAGCTGACGGCCTGGTTGGCTAGATCACTGGACTCGGCTAACCAGCTGACGGTCTGGCTGAACTCGGCGAACCAGCTGACGGTCTGGCTGGACTCGGCGAACCAGCTGACGGCCTGGCTGGCTAGATCACTGGACTCGGCGGACCAGCTGACGGTCTGGCTGGACTCGGCGGACCAGCTGACGGTCCGGCTGGACTCGGTGGACCAGCTGACGGTCTGGCTGGACTCGGTGGACCAGCTGACGGCCTGACTGGACTCGGCGGACCAGCCGACGGTCTGAATGGACTCGGTGGACCAGCTGATGGTCTGGCTGGACTCGGTGGACCAGCCAAAGGTCTGGCTGGACTCGGCGGACCAGCCGAAGGTCTGGCTGGACTCGGTGGACCAGCTGATGGCCTGACTGGACTCGGCGGACCAGCTGATGGTCTGGCTGGACTCGGTGGACCAGCTGACGGTCTGGCCGGTCTCGGTGGACCAGCTGACGGTCTGGCTGGACTCGGCGGACCAGCTGACGGTCTAGCTGGTCTCGGTGGACCAGCTGACGGTCTGGCTGGACTCGGTGGACCAGCTGACGGTCTGGCTGAACTCGGTGGACCAGCTGACGGTCTGACTGGACCGGACCAGCTGACGGTCTGGCTGGACTCGGTGGACCAGCTGACGGCTGCGCTGTCGGGAAATGAAAAAAATCTTAAGCGACAGGTCGCAAAATAACATGCAATTATGACGACGATAAATAATGGGGCGTTTCAGCAACCGGCGTAAAGCCTTGCAATAAAAATGACAGCAGCCCTTTAATGGCACTGATAAACATCTTGCACAAAGTGGTTTCACTTGTATAAACAGACGACATATGGGGAGAACATCGCCGTAGCGTTGTTGCCACAAGCAATCGCGGCTATTTGTAGCTCGTAGACATGCAATCTATTTGCTTGCCATGTTTAAAAGAATCATCGAGCCTGATCCATGCGCATTATGTTTGACCTGCTCCATTATCCCGCGCATTATGTTTTTCATTCGCAATATGTCATCGCCCGACGGGCTCGCGACGCTGCGGTAAGTGATCGCCCCCCCCCCCCCCCCCCTATAGCACCGCTGCCATGCCGGCAGCATTCTGGCTTCTCCGTTCTTCTACGCCTTCTCAGCATTAGCAGCCGTGATACACGCAGCTGGCTGTCGTCAATATCGTGGTGGTCAAAGGCAATGTTTCACTTTTGGAGATATTAATATATAATGAGGCAAGATATGATGAAAGATGATGATACATGTATATATATATATATATATATATATATGTATATATATGTATATATATATATATATATATATATATAAATATATATCGATAGATAGAGAGGGAGAGAGAGAGAGAGAGAGAGAGAGAGAGAGAGAGAGAGAGAGAGAGAGAGAGAGAGATATATATATATATATATATATATATATATATATATATATATATATTTATGTTGTTATTAATGATATATTTATGAGATATAAATTTGAGACATGATAGCAAATGTTTGTTTCATCAGATATGATGAAACAAACTTGCATATAACTATTGGTATGCTTTTTAGGTGGAAAAGACTGCTCTAAGCAGCACAACTTTCTGTTTAGTAAATATGCTCCTCACTGTGTCAGGGCTTGATGACATCGTAGTGCCACGCGCAACATTGATTGGGAACCAATTGACGTCCATGATATCTGGAAACCGTGCTCACGAGCGCCAGATATGAGCACCTGGACAATTGCATTTTTTCTTGGCCTTGATCGCCACATGGATTATGGAATGACAGGTTTTGAATGACGTTATTATGAAGTCATGAATGCCAAGATAGCTTTGTAATACTCTCCCCGATATACCTTTCCCCCTTTCCGTCGGCGTGTATCTCAGAAACTGTAGGGGCTCAAGTCTTAAGAAGCACAGGATTGCTTCAGCACCGAAAGGTCTTGCAATTGGCTACTTGAGTTTAAAACCCCATACAAATGTGAACCACTCATTTTAAGCAGCCGGGCTTATTCAGAACAATGCCACATATGGTCGCGGCGCGCCGGCTGCCCCACCAGCTTCCGTGATACCGTGGCGCACTGACCTTTGTGACCTCTGGGGAACCCCCGCTTCGGATGTCTTTGAAGGTCGTGCCCAGTGAGCGCGTGGTGCGCGACCCCATGGTGAGGGCAGGGTGGTGCTAGATGTTCGAAATGTGGACCATACATAACGTCATGCATGGTGCGGGGGCAAGCGGGCATAGAAAAGGAGCAAGGGGGTATAGAGCGTAACTGAAGAGTAAGAAGGGAATGGGGATGGACTTAGGGCGTAATGCAGCGTTATGCTCAGATGCTGTTAGAAATCATGCTCAAGTTTTAAGCAATTGTTTCTAGACCTAAGCCTCAAGACAAGACCAGACAAGTCAGCGGTAGGTGGCTTGTACTAATGACAAGACGAGACAAGCCAGTGGTAGGTGGCTTCTACCAATGACAAGACCAGACAAGGCAGCAGTAGGTGGCTTGTACTAATGACAAGCAGTACGCCCCGGTGTTGTTCCGCATCTGTAGTTTAATGAGGGCCAAATGAATGTTGCCTTTTGCGACGTGATGGTGCACTCTTGGTAACCAGGGTGAGATATTTCTCCAAGCGTAACCAGCGCGTAACGAATGTAAAGAGAGGTCTTAGAAACTGCCGAAAACCTTATAACTCGACTTATTGAGGGCCCCAGGTCTTCCTAGCGGGGCGTTTCATGGGTGGTGCGATGCGAAAGGCACCAGTTTTGTCACTCTCCAACGTAGTATCTTCTAACGAAAAGTGTGTGCAGTGAACCTCCTCGACAGCAGTACAGATCAGAAAAGAAAACCGCAAACCCAAACCTGCCACTGTGTTGGGGGCTCAAGATCGCGTGACCAGCCACCGTTTCAAGGCCTTCCGGGGTCCGTGCAGGATGGTAACGATTGGCTGGGAATTCGTCAGCAGCCCGCCTGTGCGGAGCGGCACTGGGGCCGGTTCGTGAGCCCTCCGTCCGGGCTCAGTGGGGCCCAGGCTCTCAGCAGGGTGTCGGCCAAGTGCCGCAGACAGAACATGTCAAAACAGTGCGGCGTCGAGGACTGATCCCAGATATGAAACCAGCTCTGGCTTTAATCAGGGGAGATGTCGATGCATGATTTGGGAGCATTGTTATAATGACGGCTGGGATGAAAGCCCTATAACAACGAGGCTATGGTAAAAGCGACGACGCATTCCGTTATTCTGGGCTCTGAGTGGCTTGTAATGGGTATACTTCCCTGATGTGAAATTTATTACGTCACGTGAGTTTGTGTCTGATGCACTTCAGACATGAAGATGACTCCGATAAAGCGGGTCCTGTTGTCGGGGCCTCAATTCCCACATGTTTCCCAGACGTTTTGTCACACGAGGGCCGACCGATCTAAAAGCAATTGATGTAGTTTGGGGCGAACGCAACGAGGCAAGGTTAAAGGAAGTTTGCCCAGACTTCGCTCGCGCCCCGCTGTGCTTTCCACCCTGCTGTTGGGTGCGCTCTCAGAAGGCTCATCCGATAACTTTCCTGATGTAACATCCGGCTTCCCCGTTCATTGTAGTGTCCGACTTACATAACGGCGAAGCGAAATTAGATGTTTGATATCCAAGCCGGCACGGTACGTAAGAACGTGCCGGTGATTGTGAAAGACCGATGATATTTTTTATCAACCTCATAATACGAGACCACATCGCGCATTGATGAAGCCTCACCCTGTCACGATGTTGTAACGGATTGGCCACTCAAAGAGAGACATCCCAAATTTGGAGATGTTTGGGGCACGCATGAGATATGATGAAAAAGCTCACTTAAACGATTGGAATGCTTTTCAGTGCACAAGATTGCTCTAAACAGGCGTTTTACCATTTATTAAATATGCTCCTCAATACGTACCGCTTAATTACGTCATTGAACGTCTTTATGACGTCAGAGTCGCTACCAAACTGGCCGTGTCTGAATTGCTGCTGTAGCAGACGGACTGACTCTTTTGTAATGCTTCATTTTACCGCAAGGTGGCTTGCGAATTTTCGCGAACGGGACAAGCCCAGTGATCTCTATGCGCGCGTGTTTTGGCCGTTTCTCGGGATGCTCTCGTAGATTTGTCGGTGATATTACCTTTTTACTCGCACTCTTGGCTATGACGCCGTCCTTAAGTAATTTGACTTCCCGCCTTATTTCCGTGCAACTAGTAGAACTTCCCGAACGGTTGTATCATGTATCACAACTTGCGGTTCGTGATCAAGTTTTGTATTCACGCGTTAGGATGGTTGAATGGTAACTGCTATCTGTCGATGCTGCAATTCGTGGTGACGTACTTCAGACACAAATGAGTCAATGGCCATGTTTTTCATGACCTGGAACACAGTACGGCAATGGAAGAGGTGGAATTAGTATAAAGTCTCTATGGCGTCATACATCTCAGGGTGATTTTAATATAGCCAGCGCGAAATAGTCTGTACAATATCGAGTGCATTTAGTATCCGAATAATGATGCTGCGCGAACATGCACAACTAAATAAATCTGCGTCGGATAATTGGATGCAGCATAGTTGCAAGCAGCTAACAGCAATCACCCAGGGCTGAAAAGAGCCAGAGCTTCTGCCCCTATCCAGACGTCACTGGGGAAACTGGGCAATGTGTGTGATGTGCCTGCATCCAAAGCAAGAAGCTGGCTGTCTTTTTGTTCCGTCTAAATGCGAACTTTCGCGTACCCACGAGCCATCTTCCTGCCTTCTGCCCTTTGCTGTGAATTTGTCTTGTGCTTTTGTATAACATGATGTCTATTGTGTGGATAACCTCCGTCTCCGTCCCCGCCTGCATTCATAGTCATGGTCATAATGTTATCTCCGTGCAGGGAACGGGAGGGCGCCACCGGAGTGACCTCGTGTCAGGATGTCACCCCACTGACATCTGTATGTGTCCTCTTCTGCGCAGGTGACGGAACAACACCATCTGAATGACCTGATATCCGGCTGTGACCTCACCGATCTCTCCCACTTCGACGACACCAGCGGCGACGGCAAGCTCGACATCAACGAGTTCTACATCGCCTTCAACAAGCTATACAGTACAGCATTCTTTATTTCTAGCCCACAGAATTCACAAAGACACCGTTGGACACAATTTGCAATTTCCACAACCATTTATGTCCATACTTATTATGGACAGGGGTTGCCCTTCCAACACCCACTCGGTCATCTTCGGCTTCAGGCCCAGTGTTTGTGTTTGACCGTTCACCTTCCAAGCAACTAATAGCTCCTCCAACCAGAACGAATAGCCTGTGCATCTGAGCAACATTCGCCTGCGTGATCCCAGCCCTGAGTGACCCGAGCGACCTCAGACGGTCGCCCCGAGTGAGTGACCCCAGTGACCCTGTGTGACCTCGCTGACCGCGGCAGGTATCGCCATGGTGTCGCTGGACAAATCTCTGGAGGTGAACCTTCTGTCCGCTCTGGTGGGTGACAACGTCGAGATCAAGTGTGACGTCACTGGGTCTCCGGCGCCCCGCGTCGTCTGGAGACGGTGAGGGCACATGGCTCTACCAATGAGCGGAGAGGTGACGTGGCTTCACCAGTGAGATCACGAGGTGTCACCGGCATTTGGGCTGGTCATCAAGGAGCGCTCAGACATGGTTCAGTGGTTCACCAATGAGCGCTCAGATGCAGCTCTCTGGTCAGCGGTAAGGAACAGCGGCAAGAGTGGCCTCGCGGAGGCTGTCACGGCGTTGTATTATTTCTCTTTGCAAAGTGCTTGTCGGATTTTGGCTGAAATTATTTACGCATGACAATTTTGAAGGACATCTGTATCTTGTGTCGTTGGAGCACATTGGTTGAACATTCTTGGACATCTGATCTCCCGTCTATGGTTACCGGGCGTTTGCTTCAATGTTTGATCCAGTGTAATGAACTGTGAGTTCTGCTCTCACTACGATGCATCATCTTAACATTTATTCTCACGTGTAAACATGAACAAACCTGGTCCAACAGGCCACGACCATCCAGTGAGCAAGCAATGACTCCAAAAATCAGCCCGGCACAATCCCTTGTTACTGGATGTTTCCGACCCCCTCAGTGAAAGCATGATGGTAACTCCGAAACCATGGGCAAGCATCTGTGGCCAAGCACGGTCTCCCCCTTGCGACTAGATCAGACCTCTGACCCGAATGGACCTCCTCCCTGATCAGGGTTGGCCTGCTCTAACCGGAGACCCTGCGACTAGGTAACTAATAGTGACCCCTATGACCTAGCGTGGCATCTGCGACCAAGCGTGACCCTTGTGACCGAGCGCAGACTCTGCGACCTGGCTTGGCCCCTGTGACCCGTCGGGGCCCGTGACCAGTGCAACTCAAAAATCGATTGTACGGGCTGTTGTTAAGGCGGACCACTGTGACCTGGTTTGACCCTTGTGACCCAGCTCGACCCCTCTGAGCGAGCGTGACCCTGCCGGACAGGTCGGGCCGGGAGCTGACTCAGCTGCAGGACGAGGCTCTGCGCGTGTTCCCGGACGGCTCCCTGTACCTGAGCCATGTGCAGCTCATCCACGCCGGCAACTACACGTGCCACGCGCGTGACAACGCCGAGGTGCTGCAGACCCACGTGCTGAACGTGCAGAGTAAGTACAGGGCGCTCAGGGCGCTCAGCTCCACGGGCAGCGCACGGGGGGCGTCGTGAGTAGGTTAGGTTCTCTCTCTCTCTCTCTCTCTCTCTCTCTCTCTCTCTCTCTCTCTCTCTCTCTCTCTCTCTCTCTCTCTCTCTCTCTCTCTCTCTCTCTCTCTCTCTCTCTCTCTCTCTCTCTCTCTCTCTCTCACACACACACACACACACACACACACACACACACACACACACACACACAACACACACACACACACACACACACACCGTGGTAGTGCGTGTGCATGCAGAGTTAGCCATCTCGGGTATACAGAGGGTCCGTAATTGGGAAGGCAGCATTGCCAAGCTAGCAACCACACGGACTCATAAGGCGTGAGGGTGATCAGGATCCACAGAATGAGTGGTCATGACGCTGTGGGATAACTGACGTATAAATAGTGCCATGAAACTGTAATTCGGGTGTACACCACCGGAATTGCGGAAGAAGTGGCGCTCGTGTATCGAGGGTAAATGCGCCACAGGAAACACTAGCAGAGACAGAGCAGGCGATGCCTCGCCTCATTAAGTGCTGATGAGAGCTTGTTCTTTCAGCCCAGACAGCAGGTGTATAGGTCCGTCCGTACGTTACTACATTACGCACGTTCGCTTCGTTTTCAGCTCCCCTCCTAGTTCTCAATTCCTCTTCCCTCCGTGTTCAGTTTCTCCCCAAAACAATGGTTACACTGGGCGACTCTCCCCCTGGATGCGCTGTGTTAAATGAGAGTGTTTCACATTTGTGTGGAGTTTTGAACTGAGATAACGACCTTGAAGATCCTTTGGTGTAGCTCAGAGCCCTACCCCTCTTAAGACCTAAAACCATCTTCTTTCTGAGCTACGCGCTCGCGAAGATGTGCGCACTATTCCGTGCTGACTACTTCAAGGTCACTCATGCATGCATAACGCCACAGAAACGTCATTCAAATACTGCCACCCCATTGGCCATGAAGGAATAATTAACTCTGTTCTCGCTTCTTTTGAAATGATCAGCACGCGGCAAATTTTTGTGCAAATTTGTCTGAAACTTATTTGTTGAAACTTCAGTGCAGGCAAATTGCAGACGGCTTTCGGTTACTTCGACTGTGCGGTCATATAGCCTGGACAAATGCAAACGGTTGGCAGACAGGTGGGTGTAAATGATTTGGACTGGGTAGTGGGTGGCCACGGGCACAATACCGTGTTTAACGGGTGGACTAGGTTGAGTTAATCCTCATCGTTAGTTTCCTTCCGGGCAGGGAGGGAAAAGCGCACATGCTTTGCCTCATGGCCCGGGTCTGTGGCGCTCGTCCCATCTTGTTCACTGAGTGCACCGGCGAGGCGTCGGAGCCGTGTCTCGTAAACAATGATAGATCATCATGCCGTCTTTTTGTTCGTAGCCAGTCAAATGCTCGGCGTGTGTATGCACAGCCAGGCGCAGGTATCCCGGTCTGTAGACACCATACCACGCGGCCGATCGGTTTCTCCACAACTTTTCTTTTTGCAAAATTTCTTCGCGTCTCCCTTGCATGGTTTGCGTTCTCTCATCCTGTCCTTTCCGTCAATCCACCAACGCGAATAAACGTGACCCAACCTGATCTGATCCCACCTAACGCCCCCCAGCCCGACTGACCTCATCTGCTTCACTCGAATTTATCCGACAGAATAAGCTGACCTACCTAACCCGGCTTCACCTGACCTCGCCGGCCTGACTTGCCCTACCCTGCCCTGCCGTGCTTGATCTTGTCTGATCTGATCTGATCTAATCCGACCTAACCTACCATACCCTGCCTGATCTGATCTGATCTGATCTGATCTGATCTGAACTGCCCTCACCTGACCTGCCCTGCCCTGCCCTGATCTGATTTCATCTGATCTGATCTGATCTGATGTGGTCATACCTGATCTGCCCTGCCCTGTCCTTCCCTGCCTGATCTGATCTGATCTGATCTGATCTGCCTTGACCTGCCCTGACCTGACCTGACCGGTGTCTGCCGCAGCGCCACCGCTGTCGGAGGTCGATCGCCGTCTGCAGAACAAGGGCGTCGGCCAGATGGCACACATCCAGTGTCACGCTTCAGGAATACCAGCACCCCAAGTACGCCACCCTACCGTACTGCCAGGGCTAACGCCGGCCCAGGCCGTGCCCAGTCATCCGTTTACATCACTGTGATGGGATATTGGCCCATTGTGTTACGCCGTGGTGCTTATATGATATTGGGTCATTGCCCGAGGCATGGTGGCCCGGAGGATCGCGATCCAATTCTACTCACGTCGTGGGGAGGGATTTATCGAGTCGTTTAGGGATCGGTTGCCTTGAAGGGCGCGCTGCTGCGGTGTCTCGGTGGTGTCTTGGAACCGCCCTTCGCGTCGATTGTCCGTGCGCGGTAATTGAAATGTCAAACTTGTGGAAGGGGCGTTGAAACTTGCTTAACTACGGTGAAACATGTCAACAACCAACGTTGCTGCCCGGACGAAACTAAAAGGCGGATGAAGTGGCTTTTGCAGCGGATTAAAAGCTCCGAAAAAGGTACTCGAATCAACTGATATCTACCTTTCCAAGGAAAATTACAGTTGTGGACCTGGCCTGAGTTCGTAGAAAAAAAAACACTAAGAAACAACCAAAAAATAGCGTTGGACAACGTGGACAAGTACCGTCCAAGCTTCACGTAATGATCATTGCCGGACTAGTGTGCCAGCGACCAGGCGATGCAAACACAACATGACATTCGTTAACACCTATCCGCGCCTCAGATCACCTGGCTGAAGAACGAGACGCCAATCAGCCCGCAGGCGGGCAGGTATGACGTCACGGCGGGCGGCAGCGGACTCCTGATTGGTCCGCTGACAGTCAGTGACACAGGCGCCTACATGTGCGAGGCGAGCAACTCCGCGGGCCACGCCCGGGCCGTCAGCAGCCTGCTGGTGCAGCAGAAGGCGCAGCCAGGTCAGAGTGTGTGGTCTGCGGTATGTTTTGATTAGGCGCGGAGTGTGTAACGCACGCCTGGTCAGAATGCGCAGCCAGGTCAGGGGACGGAGCATGCGAGCCGTGTAGGTCAGGGGAGACCCGAAGCGTGCAGATTGGGTCTGTCAGGTCAGGGGGCGTGGTCTGTGAGCTGAGTGGGTCAGGACACGGGGTACGTTACGTATGCCTGGCCGGAAGGTGAGGCCAGTATATGTGAAGTTCATGTATGAGGTCTATTTACTGCCCAGATCAGTCCTGAAGGGATGGCTATTCCCACTTATCGACTGAGAACGATAGGGACAGGTCCGAGGAGGACTTCTTTTTACTGGACAGGTCATGCCAAACGACGGACCGTACGTGCCTGGTCAGATAGTAGTGTGTGAAGGCCAGATCAGAGGGGGAAGAGGGCGGGGTACTAAGCGGGGCTGCGCACTCTATATCAGATAGATGGTAACTGTGTAGGATCACTTGATTAACTTTGTTACAATGATACAGCTTGTTTACTATCGCGCTTGTTGTACCGTTCGCGGGATGAGCCGAGACATTGCGTCAGAGATGCATCCATCACCGTCAATTTACAGGCCGGTTCCTTATACTTTGCATCGGTAAGCTCCGTTTTGGCCAAGCTATTTAGACCCGAGTCTAGCTCATCACTTAGGACAACTCCTGAGTAGAGTCAGAGCCAACGAGTCATGAAACGGAAGTCCACCGACTGCCACGCTCAAGGCTTATCCTGATGATGTCCGCAGTGATCCGCAGCCATGCTTCAACCACCCGCCCGCGGCCTGGGAAGTCCCGTGGACAACTCCCCACGTGCTGATCTGAGTGTGTATGTCAGCAGACGAGCCGACCGACTCGGAGAGTCAGCTGATGCTGTTCCACGACTGGGGCATCTCTGTGTACGACCCCAGCAGCTGCCGGCTGGAGCATCAAATCCAGGGCTCCGACATTATACCCGGCACCCAGGTATTAGTATGCTGTCTGATCCAGGGCTCTGACGTCGTACCCGGCACCCAGGTATCAGTATGCTGTCTGATCCAGGGCTCTGACGTCGTACCCGGCACCCAGGTATCAGTATGCTGTCTGATCCAGGGCTCTGACGTTGTACCTGGCACTCAGATATCAGTATTTCGACATTTTAGGCAATGGTGCAATGTAGAATGATTTTGGATCCAGCGCCTTTCCCTCACTCTCAAACAGTGCGCCACTTTTGACTCTCCTTCGCTCCTCAAACAGCGTACTCTTATGTTACTCTCCCTCACTCTCAAACAATACACCCCTTTTGACTCTCATTCACTCTCAACCAGCGCACCCTTATGTTACTCTCCCTCACTCTCAAACAGCGCACCCTTATGTTACTCTCCTCACTCTCAAACAGTGCACCCCCTTGTGACTCTCCTTCACTCTCAAACAGCGCACCCTTATGTTACTCTCCCTCACTCTCAAACAGCGCATCCTTATGTTACTCTCCCTCACTCCCAAACAGTGCACCTCTTGTGTTACCCTCCCTCACTCTCAAACAATACACCCCTTTTGACTCTCATTCACACTCAAACAGCGCACCCATATGTTACTCTCTCTCACTCTCAAACAGCGCAATTCCTTGTGACTCTCCCATGACTCTCCCTTACTAACCGTCCGCCCCCGCGTTCCTTCTGCAGGACTACGTGTGCGGCGGGCTGCGGCGGGCCTGCGAGTGGGGCGCGGCCGTGGAGGTGGCCGGCGTGTACGTGTACGTGACGCAGCCGATGCTGCAGCGCGTGCTGCTCATCAGCCGCCGGCAGCTGCTGGTGGTGGACGTGGTGTCCACGGACGAGCTGCCCGTGCAGCTGCAGTACGTGCCGCACCTCGACCAGGTCAGCACGCCTCAGGACACGGGGGCGGCATGGACGGGCTGCGAGCGGACGGGGCGAGTTGGAACGACCCAGAATGCTGGCGTGCAGTTTTCCTATTCGCCAGTCTGGAGAAAAAACCTGATATAAACCGAAAGACCCGTTTATTTTGCGGTATGGCATGCCAGCTTACAAGGCAAGCTCACTCCAAAACAACTTATTTTGCATATATATACGAATGCACACACACACACACACACACACACACACACACACACACACACACACACACACACACACACACACACACACACACACACACACACACACACACACACACACACACACACACACACACACACACACACACACACACACACACACACACACACACACACACACACACACACACACACACACACACACACACACACACACACACACCACACACACACACACACACACACACACACACACACACACACACACATATATATATATATATATATATATATATATATATATATATATATATCGATCTTGACCTCTAGAGCTACATAGATGCAGCAGTGCTCACTGTCGTATAGCTATTGGCTGGCAATGTAGCATCACTGTCGGGGGAAGGAACCCGTTTTATTCTCTTCACCCTCTGACTGAGCATCATTAAATGCTGTCGGCCAGCCAGTAGAGTGATGGCCAACATAAGACAGCTAAAAGGAAAATGCTACTGATCGCGCGCGAAGGGTGTGACAACGTGCATTTGATAGCACCGCTGGAGGGCCATTAGCTTGTTCTGCAACATGCTTTTCGGTCAAAGGCATATATGTTTTTCACCCCAGGAGAGCACATCGCTCGGTCAAATGCGTTTATATTTGAGGTCATGCATGCGGTAGCGTTGTTGGTAGATGCTCGCACTGTAGGAGCATTATTGAACGGCGATGTAAATAGATCGTCGGCCGTCAACACCCTGTTTTATTCACATAACCCTCTTACTATGCAGCTAAGTGTGACCTGCCGGTCGTGGCTTAATGGCCAACATGCGACAGCCAATGCACAATATTAAAATCGCGCGCGAGGACTGCGGCCGTTTGCTTTTCATAGCATTGCTTTAGGGCAATCAGCTATCTCTGCATCCTGTGTATCGGTCGAAAGCTTCCATTTTTTCGGCTCACCTCGTGGCAGCGCATCATTCGATGCTGCCTTGTCGCCCACAACGGCAATTTGTAAAGTTGCGGTGATCAAGTAAAAATACCTAACGTCGCGCGCGGCAGTAACGATTGTAAAGTTGCGGTGGTCAAGTAAAAATACCTAACGTCGCGCGCGGCAGTAGCGATTGTGTGCGAATCATAGGGCTATGGGAACAATATCAGCTGGAAATATAAATCGGTCAAAAATGCCGATTGTTGTGTTCGTCGGATGCTTTCGTTTGCATATGGTATCGCTGTGTGAGCGTTAACGGCGGTCAATGTGAATCAGCCATCAAATTGCGACATTTCCTTTTTCACCATTTGACGGAACATTTCTAAGTGCAGCCGGTTGGCCGGTAACATGCCGACCGACATACGGCAGCCCTTGAGAAATATTCCTAATCGCTCGCGAAGAGTGCAATCCTGCGCCTTTGATAGTGCTAATCATTCACAGAGATCTTGCACATTGTGCTGCCCTACTCACTGTAGTCCAAATAGTGCACGTGCACGCCGTGCACCGTGCACCGTGCACGCCACGGTTGAAAGTGGAAGAAACAACTTCTACATTACTCATCACCACAAGTAATATCTTACATCGTTTGCGTGCTCACACTGTGACGGAATCACTAGCCTGTGAAAAGTCCGGCACGGCTGGAATCGAACCCGGGTCTCCGGCTTCGCTGCCACTCTCTAACCACCCGTCCACACACGCCGCCGCAGGTGTGGGTTCTCAACTGGCGAGCCGCCGGGAACCGCGGCGTGAGAACAGTGCAGGTCATACGCAACGCCAGCCAGAAGCGGCGCCACTTCACCGTCCACCTGCAGCCCATCAACGACCACGTGGACCTGGTGATGAACATGCTGGTGCCGCCGTCGGAGGTCAGTCGAGGGCGCAGTCGGCGGGTCAAAGGTCTCTAGAGGTCAACGTCGCAGCAGAGGTCAGCGTAAGGGGTGCTGTAGGGGTGCAGTGTTGATTGCGTGACTGTGCAGACACGGATTCTGACAGATGTCGCGGTGATGCGGTGCGAGCTTGAGATTGAGCGCGTATGGAAGTCGCCCGTGGCGGATGGGTAAGCGCACGCTACAGTAAGGATGCACCCGGTGTAACGGGATATCCGTTTCATCCAGCATGTATCAGAAGATCAGTTCAGTGATTTGTGGGAACAGAGGTCGGTCTCAAGTTGTGAAGTTCTCAATGAGTTCTCAAGAGCCAAGCCAGGGAGATTACGTTATAAAACGTTACATTATACGTTTGAGCAGAGACTCTCCCACTCTTGATGAGACACTGATGGCTCAGGCGGAGCGCGAGCTTAGCCCTCACACAGCTCTCTCCTGCTTCCCTGCCTCAGCTGGCCGACCAGAAGTTCCGCTACGCCTTCGTCACACACAGCAACCACCGCGGCATGTACAAGGTGGACATGAAGACGCTCAACTTCGTCAAGTCGGTCGACCTGACACCCTACAACTGCGTGCCACAGAAGGCCCAGTTCGCTCGCATCTGTACGTTCCTCGCACTCCAACGTGCAACGTACCTTGTGCGTTGCTGCGTGTATTTTACCATGTGGTTGAATGTGCGTGGTTTCCAACACCCAAAGACGCCGAGCTGATCTCCGTAAATATGATGTAAAGAGGTTAAAATACATATTGAATCCAACATTGCGGTTAGTTGTAAGAACTAGGCTTGGAAGCCTATTGATTCTTCAGCTAAGCTGAAAACGCCAAATGGCGCACGTCATGTCCGCTGTCTTGCTTGCCTACGCTACTTGTAAGTGCATATCATGGTGTTAGTCATGCGTAATTTGACTCAGACAAATGAACTAGATCATGATTACATTTGGAAAGGGATGTGCAGGCTAGGACTGCTGTTTGGAGTAATGACACTTGTTTTGGATGAATTTTTTAGATTCTGTTAAAAAATATGGAATTAACAAGTGGGATAATGCTAAATTATTGTAACCCGTAGGTGCAGGTGGTGGATTGTTCACAACCTGTTGATGACTTGAGACCGAATGCTCAATAGTCATTTTGTCTTGCTTAACATATTTAAAACATAATGATAGGCTTACACTTGGCCATATGTCTTCTTTTTATAATGCGTAAAGCGTATTACAGCCTTCCCCGGATTATCGCAATGCTCATCGAACTGGACACGTCATATGCTTGTTCACAATCCTGTGCGTCATATGCTGGACTAAACGAGTATTCGCAAGGGCCCGTCGTCCAGATCCCACAATCAGTGCGCTGGGTTGGACATGGCCACTGCAGAAGACGGTCACATTATAGGCTCGCCAAAAGCAGGCTCGCAATGACACCACACCATGTCGGCCAAGCCTCAGCGGCACCAGCCTACGAACGAACCGAACCTAAATCTACAATGATAACCGCGACGTTGTAGGTTCGAATCTTCCTACATGCTGTTTTTTCGCCATCAGACGGCTTCGTGGTGATCTCCTGCATGGAACCGGTGACGTCACGGCCCAGTGGCCAGCTGCTGTACGATCAGCTGACGGACTCGGTTGTGAGCGCGCAACCGAGCCTGATTGGCGAGCCGTACCTGACCCCGGACTCGGCCAGCTGCGTCACCGTCCGTCGCGGCCCGGTCACCACGCTGGCGGTGCAGCGGCTGAACGGTCAGTCGGCAAGCAACGCCATCTAGCGTGGGAAATGTAAACTGCTGGTGCTTGCAACGCCATCTCCTGAGAGACATGACAACTAATGATGGCTGCCTTCTGTAGCCGCTTCCCGTAACACTCAACCAGCCGAACTCAACCAGCTCGAGGTGTGCATGGCAGGGTTGTTGGTGTGTATGGCGTGGGAAGGCCGTGCTGGTTGACAGTCCTAATAAAACAGAGTGTGTTAGCTGGGTGGCGTGAATAGGTTTGTGTTTGAAATGAAATGTTTCAGAATATATGTACGATTTTCGGCCGCCATGTACGGTATTCAATACCCCGCCTTTACGAAAGCTAGGCCCCATTGATATATTCATGCCTGTATATGAGGCAAATTATGCTGAACGGTCACTACTGAGCGCCGACCAAACAGAATTGTCATAAGGGTCGCGGGGAAGTGCAGCCCAGCGACCGCAAACTTCTATTCACCATAGCCAGATCCACGCCATTGGCCAATCGGCCTCAGGCATCATGATTGACGTCGTATCAATGCTGGTGCGATATCGCAAATGCTATGCCAGCTGACCCCAGTTATTATTGGTGACATGACGTCATTTCAGGTGACGGTCTCGTGTTCGCTTTCGACGTGCGCACGCCGCTGAACATCAGTGACGTCACGTTCCACCCGAGCCGTTCCGGACATGGCTACGACCTGTACGCCACCGCCCGGGGCGTGGCTGAGGTCATGGTCATTGACCTGGAGTCAGGTGGGTGCTGGAGCCTTGCTAAGCTTGCTTTGTTCCGCTGGGCTTATTCATATCGTGCATGCGGCAAGCACTAGCAATTTGTTTGCAGGAGTCATGAGCTCGGAATTTGTATTAGGCACCAGAAGCTCTTAATTTTCCCTAGCTGCGAAATGAACTGATGCCTTAGCTTAGTTAGCATTTGTTGCCCTATCACCGCCGGTCATCCAAAAGATGAAATTATGGTACGCACTTTCACAGCATTCGATTGAAACCTCTTTCTCCTCGTCTAAAGTGCACTTCCAGCAATGCCATTGCTCATGAAATTATCCATATACCAAGCCATACTCAAGGAAACAATCAGGGATGCTTTAGGCCTTTAAAGAAGTATACATTCAAACATGTGTTTATTCCGAAATTACACGAGACATGGTTGCCTAGTGGCCAGGGTCTTTCAGTATCACCTGGAGGGTTCGAATTCGAATGGGTGTTGCATCGTGACCCAGGGCGTTAGTGTGACCCCCTATGTCGCTCTCGTCTTAAAACGGTTTGCGACGACAGATGCCACGCTCCATTAGTACAAAAATAAGCCAGCTCATATTCTTCGTGCTCAGGTGCAGTGACACTGCCAGCTGGCCTCGTCTGTGTCCTGGCTAACGTCCCTCCCTCCCTCCAGGTCAGGTTGAGATCCTGACGAGCGTGGGCGGCGGCTCGCTGTCCGAGCCGGACCGCTGGGGCCGCCCGGAGCGCCCTCTGAACTCGGCCGGCCGCTTCCAGTGTCATCTAGCGGCGGCCGACGGAGACACGCTGCTCGTGCTGAACGGCCGCACACACACGGAGAACTGCCGCGTGGCCGGGCTGCGCGGCCTGCGGCTGCAGATCTGGCTGCAGAAGATCGCCGACGCCGAATAAGGCGTCGTGTGAGGCAAAGTGATTGGATGAGGGAGATGGGCATGCAGGTCCCGGGAATGGAGACAGAGTGAGGGATACAACAGTGAGGAAAACGGCGCTATGAATTACGCGGTTAAGGGCTAGTGACCACCAAGCATGCAGTCGAGCCAGAGGACGTTGGTTTGACTTCGCCCGATGAGGCGCAGCATGCATCTACACGGCTTCACTCTGGGGAGACCACAACGGCTGGTGCCGTCACTTCATCGGAGGAGCTCGAAGAAAAGAAGAAACACCAGGGCGCCACTTTCCGAAGACGCAAATTGCTCGCGGATTCCGGTTTCCTTCAGCGACAGGTCATTGGGGAGTTACATTGGAGGTCATGTGTGTTGCCAGTTAACGCACGGGAAAAGACGTATGGTAGCAGACACTAAAGCGAAGAAAGGTTTTACGGAATCAAAACTTTTGAGAACACCTTAATGTTAATCCCGTCAATGGGCCTGCGTCTCCGCCTTCCCGCGTACGCTGCTATCGTAGCGAGAGATTGAAATGCCCGCGGACAGATGTCACTGCAACACAGACCAACCAAAACAAAAGCTGGGCGTGGTGGGGGCTGTAGATGTATGCTGCCAAATACGAGGCCGTGTGCTCGCTTGTCTGCTTCTCAACGTGACGCGAGCCGTAAGCAGGCTGCGCTGAGCTCAGGCGTCTGCCGCAGGGCTGGCTGCGCTGGGCTCAGACGTCTGCCGTAGGGCTGCTGCGCTGGGCTCAGACGTCTGCCGTAGGGTCTGGCTGCGCTGGGTTCAGACGTCTGCCGCAGAGCTGGCTGCGCTGGGTTCAGACGTCTGCTGCAGGGCTGGCTGCGCTGGGTTCAGACGTCTGCCGCAGAGCTGGCTGCGCTGGGCTCAGACGTCTGCGGTAGGGCTGGCTGCGCTGGGCTCAGACGTCTGCCGTAGGGTTGGCTGCGCTGGGCTCAGACGTCTGCCGAGCTGGCTGCGCTGGGCTCAGACGTCTGCCGCAGAGCTGGCTGCGCTGGGCTCAGACGTCTGCCGAACTGGCTGCGCTGGGCTCAGACGTCTGCCGAGCTGGCTGCGCTGCTGAGTCTGGCCAAGGACACGGCTGGGTAACTACGGTGACAGCCGGCTGACGTGAATGTAGGCATCTTAATCAGTGCTACTGGAGACATTGTGTGCCCGGCATTTCGATCGCTGTAGAAAATTCCATGTTTACACGTAAACTCCGGGAGAGACATGGGCACTTGATGGCTGTAAGATGTTCATGTGCTAGGATATTCATTCAGGTTTGAACATCCGGTTCATTAATTAATTAATTTCAGTCCGGTTTATGTTGCACGGTGGAGAGCTTTTCGCGTCTCGAGAGCGTTCGGTGATGATATTTGCATCGAGATATGTGTGTGCATTGCTCTTGCTATTTTCTGACTTGCCCAATTTGGGTGAAGAGGTGCTCATACGAGCAAGAAGACCCCGTTCCGCCGCCGGTGCTATCGTCACGTCTACACAAGCACAAGCAGTAACGTAGTCATCATGCTCTGAAACTGAAGCATGGTGGCACGTGGCTAAGAGCCTATGCGGTCGGGGGTCAGCACGAGCACCAAAACTGGGTCAGCGATGGCCCAGTGTTGATGGTTCGTAGTCGGTGCTGACGTCATAGGTCAGCTGAGAGCTGGGGCGAGTACATTGCCAGTGAACCTAAGACACGCACTGTTCATCAATGGATAGACGGAAACACTCGCAGTATTTGTTATCTCTGCCTTACGCATTCCTTGCCGGGAAAAGAAGAGCGGCTCCCTCTGCCTTCAAATTCGTGCTCCGATGCGACTGCAGCGTGTTTGTGTCTGCAAGGTGAATGGTAGCGTATCCAAATGATCTCATTTTAGCTTGTCAACCGCGAGGGCATGTGACCCACAATGACGTCAGTGTGGTGTACCAGTTCGTTCCCATCTCGACGTCTGTTACGCGCGGCCATGCTGTCGTCGGTTTGTGCGCTGTCGCGTTTAAGTGCTGGTCTAGCCTGTAGCAGCACGCGAGTGAATGGGTGACGTGTGCTCTCTGTCTGTGACGGAGTTTTGTAGTACTCTCTTCAAAGGTATTCCGAAACGCCTCATGCATCTGTATTTTATCGCGTAATACACAGAAAATGGAACAACGCGCTGAGAACCCTCAAAGCCTTAGCAGTGCCACAAATATTTCATTGTGGTACAATATTGCATGTTGCGCACATTTTGGCATGATCAACACATGCGGACAGACTAGCAGAGGAGCACACTTTGGTGGGTCTTGAACCCACGCCTCCTTGTTGATACTGTGATTGCCCAATCACAGTTGTAATGATGGATAACCCCTCAGAATGCAGCACGAAAACAGCCAAGGCTGACAAACAAGTTATAATTATTACACCGACGTCCTCACAAGTGTAATGGGATTGACATTCTCTACCTAGACAGATCAACAAGTGCGAGGAGTGATTAAGTGAAGGGTCATCAAGGAGAAGTGGCGGATTCAGGATTTCGTCAAGGAAGGGGAGAGGATTGGTAACATTGTTACTTCTCGTGGAGTTTGAAACCGCCTGTAAAAAAGAAATTCTCGTATTCTGACCATGGCACTTGAATATTTTTGCACATGCTCCTTTTACACGGGGACACACCTTCTTTTGCGCAATCCTAGACAAGGATTGGTGGTGCGTATGCACATCCACGGAGCGTTTACACCTCCCCCAGATCATAGCGGCTCCCGTCATTTGAAGAGAAAGCTTTTCGGGGCAAATAAGACAAAATCAGGTAAAGTCGGCTGCTAAGTACCCTCAAAACCAAGCGCGACACTTCATTTCAAGGCTATTTTTGGCTAACCAGTTTCCGGCGTCCAGCCGGCTGGTTGATGTGACCAGCTGATAGCTGATGGACGTGATCCACAGTTAGGAAAGTGTCACAGATTCAATAACCAACGGAAATAGGGTATACGACGTCGGCTGCGTGTAAAATTCTGCTCGACAATTGCGCACAAAACAATAATTGGAACACATACGATTGCTGCTCTAAAACTAATGCACCAGGGGAAGTCATCACCGTGTAGGTCTCGGATTTGTGCACTGAATTAATCTAGCCAAGCCTGTACGAACGAGTAGGCGAAGGACCCTGACGTTCACAGGAGCGTGTGGGGCTTTCGGCAACATAGTGAGATCCTTTTGGCGCCATCGCAGGAGCCCACGACCAGTGTGGAGGGCCCCGGAGCGATGAAGAGTGCCCCGGTCGATTAACATTTAGGCCACCATAGCCCTCCGATAAAATTGGAAAACCCAAGAGGGAAAGGGGCGTCATCTGAGCGACCAACAGTGCCGCGGGATGCCTGCAAAGAGGCTCTCATCAACAGTGTAGGGTCATCAGAGCAAGCGAGAAGCACATCTGAGCGACCAACAGTGCCGCGGGAGGCCTACAAAGAGGCATTCATCAACAGTGTAGGGTCATCAGAGCAGGCAGGAAGCACTGGAAACCAATGTGGTGAGTCTCTGAACGGTCGGGAGTGTCCCGGCAGGTAAACATACCGGGTCCCGGCCAGAGGCCTCCCGGCCTCTGAGCAAACGGGATGAACTCAAAGACCAGTGTACATGAATAAATGCCCTTGAGCGATCTAAACTGCCCCGACAGATGAGCGTATAGGACACCAGACAGCAGTGCAGGGTCTCCAGGGCAAATATGAAGTTCCCAAAACCATTGTAGCAAGCCCCTGTGAGATTAAAAGTGTCCAGTCAGGTTAGTAGAAAGGGCCTCGACAAGAGTGAAGGGCCCTCCGCAAATGAGATCAAAGGGAAATAACATTAGATCGATGAAGAGGGCTTTAAGCATCGAGTGCCTCAGTGCGTCGACTTATATTGGCCCCAGCAACAGCGCAGTGCCCTCCGGGCAACTGAAAATAACCCGATACCAATATGGAGGCTTCAGGCCCGCCGATAACACTCCGGCAGGATACATGTGGGACTCCAGCAATGGCGTATGGAGCCTTTTGGGCGAACAGAAGGAATCCGTGGAGGGCCCCCGATCGATCAAGAGTGTCATGAGATTGACACTCATGAGTGCACAAGAGTGAGAGTGTCATGGAATCAAATAGGAGCCGAGGAACAGAGTAGCTCCGAGCAAACTCGAGGTGGTCAAGGGCAACGTGCAAAGCTCCTCAGCAATCGGCTTATCCCGACAAGTGGACATATAGGGCGCTCAGTAATAGCGTTGGTAGGGCCTCTGGACAGCGTAATGAACCTAAAAATATCTCCAATCACCACCCTCTCACCTCAATCTGCTCACCGGTCCTTCACGTTCGCTTGCGACTATGCTTGGTCGCCTGGAAGCCAAAGCGTCCAATTTTGTTGTTGTTTTTTGTGTTGCAAAACTGCGTCCGTCATACCAGTTATGGCCCTTCGAAGCATATGGGTTGGGTCGGGCCCAGGGGGGGGGGGGGGCATGACCCGTGCCCTACCACTCCTTCTGGATCCGCCATTGTCAAAGAAGAGATTTCAAGGGCGTCCATACATTGTCCTGGTGGTCATGACATTCAGGATGTTCTGATGACATTTCACGGTCGCACGCGGTCCACAGGACCAGACGAGCGCATGTACCTTGCCCACCTGAAACGAAACTCTCATCCCGCAGCCCACCTGAACAGACCCGAGAGGACAACAGCAAACGTAGTATCAGCACTCTACTCATGAGCAGGAAGTGGCCCAGGCACGGCTGGCGGGGCCTCAGAGACGCCAGCATCCCGCCAGCAGCTCCGAGGAGCAGCGTCGGCTCCTGCCCCCGCTTCACCGCAGCTCAGCGCCGCTCTTCAGACTCACCTCGTGACCCGGCGCCGCCGCTGACCTCTGGCCCGCCGCTGACCTTCCGACCCGCCCGCGTCAGGTCGCCGCGGTCCTCTGACCCGAGTCGAGCGCCGGTCGAGTCGCTCGGCGCCCGACCCGCGCGGCCGAAGGGACTGCGTGGAGCCGTGCGTGCCTGTCCTCTTTTTGGGGGTTTCACGTCAGAGTAGCCAGCAGAAGCCGGCGCCAAAGCTCCCGGCGTTGTCGGTGACCTACGCGGCCTCGACCTTGACCTTTGATGACCTTTCCTTTTTGACATTTTTGATGACCTTTCGTGACCTCGAGTTCCGTAGTGAGTTTTGCCCACAAGCACTGCGAGCTCTCCCGGCACTCCTGGCATTCCTGGCACTCCTGACACTCATGACACTCCTGGCACTCCTCGTGCTCCTTGCAAGAATTTAGTTTAGTTCGATTAATGTTCTATTACGATGTTTTGGAACATGGTGAGCAGCAGAATCACAGCAAATATCAATAATAGTAATATTCTCACATCACTAGTCAGCCCCGGTGCCTTTCCAGCACCACTGGTGAGATGACAACACCTTCGACTAAGACATCCTGCAGCACTGTCAATGACTTCCGCGGAGCCGTCTGTGATAAGTCAGCGCTATCGCTGACCTCTCGGCTTTTGACCTTACACCCCTGAGACGTGCTTGTTTATGCACTGTTTACCGCAGGTCCTCCCCCGGCCTGTAACCTATCGCACACCGTACACGCGGTGCCTATTTACCCCTGATCCTCCCCCAGCCTGTTGCCTACCTCACACCACACACGCGGTGTACCTGTTTACCCCTAATCCTCCCCCAGCCTGTAGCCTGCCTCACACCACACACGCGGTGTACCTGTTTACCCCTAATCCTCCCCCGGCCTGTAGCCTGCCTCACACCACACACGAGGTGTACCTGTTTACCCCTAATCCTCCCCCAGCCTGTAGCCTGCCTCACACCACATACGCGGTGTACCTGTTTATCCCCGATCCTCCCCCGGCCTGTAGCCTGCCTCACGCCACACACGCGGTGTACCTGTTTACCCCTGATCCTCCCCCAGCCTGTAGCCCGCCTCGTAACTCCAGCTGGCGTCGTACCTCACCAGCATCACCTGCATGCCGTCTTTGACGCAGCAGTTTTTCGGCCCATCGAAGTTGATGGTGATCGGGTTGGGGTCGGTGGCATCCATAAAGGGCGTTTGTTCGTCCTCGCGGTACACACGGACGCGACCGTTCTCAAAGTGAATACGGAAGCGTCGCAGCCTGTTCGCGCTCACTATGCTCGGGGTGTTTAGGTTGATCAACGAGTTCCATCCAGCACCGGACGTGCGCCGTTTGATGAAGCTTTTCTTGTTGCTGCTGCCGCCGATGGCGACCTTGATGATGTTGGCGGAATCGTAGTCGACCCTGTCCTGAGCCAACCACTCACAGCTTCGCTCAGCGCTGCAGCTGTATTCCACCCAGTAGTTTTGCAGCGTTTGGCGCCTCCGCAGCCACGTGTACCTGGTGGGGCGCCGTTAGGGCAGAGGTCATGTCCACGGCACGCTACATTCGGCCGTGGGAGAGGGCGCTAGTCGCTTGTATGAGGGTTCAAGCCACATAACTGAGGGCGAAAGCGCGGCAAGGTAAACACACAATTAAAAAAGCGAAAAAAATGGCATACAAGGAGAGACGTGTATGACCTCTACTGCAGGTGCTACCGGGCCGAAGTCGGGAGACGAAGTCCATAACATACGAGCCGTGTTCATGATCCGTGACGTCATTATTCACGTCGATACTGAGATACGATCACGCGGATAAATAGCCTCTAATGCAGGTGTATTTTACGTATTACCGCAGATGGTGGAGGAATATTTGATATTAGCCTGCATAAACATGGTAGACACGCTAAAGGTACACGTGCGTGTTTCTCGCACCGCCAAGGTTGCGACGGAAGCGGGCCAAGGCGGAATTCGGATACACATTCGATGGCAACCATGATCAAAATAATGGTAGCCATTAGCGATCTCACACCCGCCAAATCGTGACTCTGCAAAAAATACAGATCTCTCGCAATAAGAGAACTGCGAGGCACCTGTCAACACCACCTCGAGCGCCGCGTTGCCGCCACTTTAATACCCTTCTAGGTGGCCCTGTACAAACTGTACACGGGATCAGTCTGGATGAGGAGGGCTCCAACAGGAGGGGGGGGGGGGGGGGGAGACACCGTGTTAACATGTGTGTGCCATGTAGTGACCATTACCATCACCTGAAGCGCTTACCATGCGTACCATGCGTGTGTGTGTGTGTGTGTGTGTGTGTGTGTGTGTGTGTGTGTGTG